ATGGAGCTATAATTATTACACAAAACTAATACTACCTCAGTATACTACACATTATTTTTATTAGTATGCATAACTTAAGTACCTGTATATAGCTGTAAGTATTGATTCATAGGAGCCTTACAATGATGCTGAGAAGATTCTAATGGAAGTAATGATTGATGGAGCTAATGGATGTGAGAGTGAGAGGGAGGAAGAGAGAGAGGAAGAGGAGGAGACACTTCATATGTTAATGATGAATGTGATTGATAGTTACTGGATAATACTGAAGGAGAGAGAGAAGAGGAAGAGGTTAGCTGATGGAGTAGTTAATGATTAATTATGTTTTGTATGTATCAGTGTTATTAGGGAGCATGGACTTATTGATGTGTACAGGATATTAGGTAATGAGTAAACAGGCAGAGACTGTCATGTGATAGAGACCATGCAAAATGTGAAGATACAACCTGCTATTGTGACACTAATTAAGTACACTACTATTCAGGACAGGTAGTTGCAGTGCAGTCCCAATACAATTTCTGAAATAAGGACACTTCCTTAATGGAGACTGTGTTTGCACCTTCCACTAATATAAAGAACAGATCAAAGCATCACTATTACATTATAATGCCATTAGTAGAAGCCTTGTTGATGCTTACCAAAAAACAGCACATTACTTTTATTAACTGCTATATTATAGGTAGAGAAAGGTTGTTGTCCAATGAAGAACAGTAAGTGCATCTTCTTGCATGTTTGTTTGTATTGTTGTTTTGTTGTTTACAAGTTACTCTTGTTTACATTCACATTAGGTCTGTTAGAGTTTTAATGAGACGTTTTGCAAGATTTCTTGATGCAGAGACAACCGAAAAACTAATACAGAGTTTTCTGAGTAAATTAATGATACTGTCTGGTGTTAGTTAGATGTGGTTTATATAGATGAAAAGAGGTTGATTAAGAGAATCAAGTGTCTTCAAACTTATCATTGCCTTGGTATCAAAACACTAGCTGATAAGGAAATCTGTTTAAAGAACAAAACCAGTTTATCTTGTTATTATACTGGTCACAGGTGGTGAACTGTATGAAAGGTTAAGAGAAAAGAGAGAGAAAACAAGAGAAAGGATGAAGGCATCACTTGATTTAATAATAAAGAATAACAAGGTAAGCTTGGAATGCATGGCAGCAATACTAACTTCATCAAAATTTAGTCAATTGCTTCAACGGAACAGCAGAAGTAAGTTCTATTGTTACATTATAATGGACATTGTCTTTGTGTATAACATTTTCTCCTTTGCAGTGCTACTATATCATGTACTAATACTGAACTACAAGGACAACAAGCAATGTGTAGTACTGGTAAAACAAAATACTCATTAACTCCATTAAACATTACATACTAACCCGGTGTGGAGCAACTGGATCATGAAGAGAAAAATGTGAGGATTTTATGTGTCATTCCACTGATTCCATGAGTGAGTGGGGGATGCAATGATTAACATAACAATAACATTACTGTCTCCAGGCTAATTTCATTAAGTGTACTGAGTCCGTTACTGCCTTTTGTGTGTGTTTGTGTAAAGTTAGAACTTAAGCAATTACAATTGAAGCATGCACTGATTTTTCTTTCCTTTTTATACAGATATGTTCAGTCTATCATATATTAACTGATGTATATTTACACTGTAAAGGAGTAATGATTGCTGAGAGTAGGAAATGTGGAGGGAAGCTACGTCTGATGGATGCTAGGAAGTTGTGTCGTATTGATGTAAATCAAACTAGAAAGATATATAATCATCTTGTGTCTAAAGAACTTATAAAAGCACCATTTAAACTTATTAATGCATGTATTTCAGTTTCCAATTATTGTTGATAATGAATTTAGATAATACCGTATAGCTGCTTAATTTTGAGGGTACAATTTTCACTGTTTTCACAGATTTTCCGTATCCACAACAGTTAATTTCGTAAAATTATTCATATCATTTTATAAA